GGTTTAGGGTTTAGGGTTGAAGAGTCATAGTGGTAGCAATAATGATAGCTGTAAGAACAATAGTCATAGTAATAGTAATGGTCATGGCAATAGTATGCCCAGAACATGCAAGATGGACTCTTCTGACTTCTGATCTGGTTCCCCGTTGGGGCTAAATTAAAAATGATCATTGTTAATCCTTATTGGGGTTTATAAAAACAAACATGTAAACTTGTATCCAGCAAGGACCCAGTGATGGGCGAGGAACTGTCGTCATCAGCTTCGTCCATCGCGGCTGCTGCGGCTCTCTCCTGCAACTGCAGGCTCGACTAGGGTCCGGACTTAGGATTTTTGTCTCTTTTAAGCCCCTCTTTGGCGTCTGCCCCCCGATGTCGAGGGCTTAAGATTTAATTCTGAGCTTAGGGTTTAGGGTTTAGGGCTGAGGGCGTTTAAGTTTGAAATACAGGGCGTTGAAGTTTAAACTAAGGCTTTCTGGGTCGAGGGGTCATGGTGAGAAACGCAAGGCGGGGGTGCAAGGTAGGAGTGCCATGGAATTTGAGGGGAACTAGCCTGGCAATTAGGATGTTTGCCCCCTGCCCTGTGAGTCTTGCTGCCTGAGGGGAGATCATACACTTGTAGGAGGCTCAGATCACCTCAAGCCAGAACGGACCATATATGGATGATGGCACCCAACCCCACAGTGACAGTATTTGCAACTCTGCTTTTACCGTCTAGCGTGTGCGGATTTCAACTCTCGAAGCTCGCAGTAATAATTGGACCCCGCTGGGTTTAAGCAGAAACCTCGTCATTCTCTACAGCGCAACACCAGCCTAAGCTCCTAAACTTCCTAAACCCTGATCTCCCAAACCCTGATCTCCCAAACCCTAAACTCATAAACCTTCAACCCTACCGTAAACTTCAAGACCCCACACCCTAACTGGATTCCTAAGCCCTAAACGTCTAGGCCCGATTCCGCTCCTTGTACCGGCGAAACCGCAAAGCGATCTCTGACACCTGAGCAGCAAAGGAGCCGGAAAAAGCTTACCAATGCACCGGACATGTCCCGGTTTAGAATTTATTGCTTGGGGTTTAGGGTTTGGGGTTTTAGGGTAAGGGTGCTTACGAGGTTACTTGGAGCGTACTATAGGTACTATAGGGTTAATGTAAACTTGCTGCAAATGTACTATAGGGGTGGGCACCATAAAGCTTGTAAGATGAAATTACCTGAGAGTACTGTAAGGTGCCGTGCAACACATAGGTAGCTCGTTAACCAGGGCCTTTGGGCTTCGTGTTCTAGGATTTGAGGGTCACTCGTGTTCAGCTAGCTACCCATGGTCATAAGATAGGGATCAGAGAGTAATCACACTGTTTCTTGTCATGGCACTTACTTGCTATTGCGAAGGAACACTGCAAGGACAAGCGATGACCGGAATAGCGGTGAACAACTGGCCTTAATGATCGATCATGGGAATAACGCATGAAACCCAAAAATCAGTAAACTGGTGAAGGGACTGTCCCTAAACCGTAAACCCTAAACCCGAAACCCCTAAACCCTAAGCCGTGGAGTTCAATCCTCCCCACCCCACCTGCTTCTTCTGCAGGCCGAAAGAATCGACAGGAGTGAAGGGCAGAGCAACGATCATCAGGAGCGTCCGGAAGGCCTTCTTGGTTCTTGTCTTTGCGGTTTAGGGTTTAGGGTTTTCTAGGAGGAGGAGGAGGAGGAGGAGGAGGAGGACGAGGGGTGCACTTTCGGGTTTAGGGGTATAATTAGGACGTTTAGGACTGACAGCCTTACAAACTAACCCATTCGGGTCGGGGAGTTTGGGCTTGCCTCTAAACCCTAAACCCTAAACCCTGAACCTTAAACCCTAAGATCTGGGGTTTAGGGCTTGTTTGAGGCTTCAGGCTTCTGCATTAGGAGTCAGGGTTAGGGGGACCCTTGGGGATATAGACCCTCTCCATAAGGTCCTTTTTAAGAGAGTAGGGTGAAGAAGGGTGCCCTTTAAGGGGGTCTCCCTAATACTACCTAGGATACAGAATATGTAGGGAGGGCTGTATCCAGGTCTAGCTTTAACGGGTTTCGGGCGTTCCGGTCGTGAGGTTTAAGGCTTAAGGCTTTCTTCGCTCTGTGCCTTGGGTCTACAACAGCCGCAAGGACGTTCAGGGCACCGAGGTTTAGGGTTTCAGGGTTTAGGGGAACCCGGGTGGAAACTTCTTCTCGAACCGAAAAGGTGCAATATAGGGGCCTGCATAATTCGAGTTGGGATTCGGTTAAAGGAAACTACAGGTGGGGAGTTTAGGGTATACTATAAGGCTCGTGTACTGGTAACTACCCACCTGAAAATGTCCTAGACTAAACCCTAAACCCTAAACCCTAAACCTGAAAACCTGAAACCCTAAACCTGAAACCCTAAACCCTAAACCCTAAACCCAAACACCGATTCGAATCGGGATTTGGGGTGTGATCGGACAAGAAGTCTGTTCGGGCAAAGGAAACTAGAGGGCTTGTGCCTCTCCGGTGATTTTCAAGCCCTTATCGGGCTTTGGGGTTATATGATAGTCTAGTTCTAATAAGGAACCCTAAGGAACGATATTGGTAAAAAAAACCGCTGAAGCTCGAAGTCGGCAACCCTCAACCAAGCTATTTGGGCTCCTCATTCATCCGAGGTCTTTGAACAAGACCTCAACTACAGCAATGATCAGGTCTGACAAGAACGTACAGCACAGTTGAATTCCGAGAACTGGACTGCCGTTTGGCTTGGGTTCAGCTGGGGTGGGGGGCTTACCTGACACGAAAATGTCAAGGAGCAAAATACTGAGGGACTGACATGTGCTCATACACGGAAGACACGCTGGGGAGCGAGAGCTACGATCTAGAGCTGAGGATTTAGGATCTATGCATCCGGTTATTATGGGTTGAAAGCCGGAGAACAAGGTACCCGAATATGCACCACTTATGGTTGGATCCTCATATAAACAACCCCATATATATATACATATGATATATATATATATATATACATTATATAAATATTATAATATATAATAATATATATATATATGTATATACAGATATAGATATAGATATAGATATATATATATATATAGAGAGAGAGATATATATATATATATATATAAACCCCAAGAAGTGTGGATCTGGCTCGTGCGCTCCCACCCAGCCTTGGCAAGCCGCTGTATGTTGGTCCGCGCACTGCGCAAGCAGGGCACGTTTGGCAGCTTTGCGGAGGGGGGGGTCGTAACTTTTTGGGATTTCGGGCGACTTGGCCGTGACATGCGCTACATCCAGAGCGCTTAAGCCCTAAACCCTGAATCCCGTATCCCTACACCCTAAACTCCCTATACCCTTAGTCCCTTATCCCCAGAGCTTCGACGCTCCCTCAACCTGAATCCTGCCATCAGCCACAGACCGAAGCACGCCTAGCATAAACCTAAACTTCCGAAAAACGCTGAACCCTAAACCCTACAGAACACCACGCCCTGGTGGCGTTGCACTCTCAAACCCTAAGCCCTGAAAGCCCTGCACTTCCTAAACGCTGAACCCTAAACCGAACCCCCAATACTTAACCCTAAGCCCTTAACCCTAAACTTCCTAAGTACAGAAGCCTGCATCCTCAGCCCTCCACCCCATTGCAGGGGCCTTAATAATTAGAATAGGGTTTTGGGCTACTTTATCGTAGAATTATTATAACCAGGAACCCTAAGGAATAATATTGGTAATTAGTTAGGCTTCTATAGTAATCGGGCGGAAATCCGCAAAGCCCCCGAACCGGGCAAAAATTTCAGAGCGCTGAAGTGAAACCCGAAAGCTTGACCCACGGGAAGTGAGGGCCTTGGATCTACACTAGTTGAAAAAAGGCAGTGCACCTGAAACTCCAGAAACTCCAGAGACTTTGTGATTCAGGATTTCGATGTTGGTATAATATAAGGGCCTAAATGATTACCAATACTATTTTGGTGGTTCCTGATTATAACTATGGTATGATATACCCCAAAGCCCTATTCTAACCCCCGACACTGTTCTGTATGATTCGGTGTTTTGGGCTTAAAGCTTTCGCTTAAGCCTCGCGCTTTGGCTCCTGAAACCCAATGTAGCCTTAATAAATAGAATAGGGTTTTGGGCTCCTTTGTAGCATAATTAGCAAAAGGAACCCTAAGGAATAATATTGGCAACGATTTAGGCTTCTATATTCAGCCGGCCTGAAATGGTCCTCATCTCGGAACATGCCCTCATAGGCATACGACTCAGCTGAGCGGAAGTCGAAGTGGGGGTCCGCCAAGACCTGTCGGAGGTCGAGCTTAGCTTTCGGCTGCTGTTACTACACGAGATTGAATAGGTAGAGTAGGGATTTGGGGATTTCTTAGCGTGTAACATAGCAGAACTATAATAAGGAACCCACTTGAATAGAATTGGTACTCATTTCGGCGCCATATTACGCAACCCTAGGCCCCGGCCGAGTATCGACGACTAAGAGGAGATGTGACTGCGACGATGCGTCCATGATATCTAAGGCCAGAAACTGACTTGTAGGGCTGTAGGGTTTAGGGTTTGGGGATCATGTTGGTATCAATAGCACTACAATCACGCTGGCAATTATTATAAGAGTACAAGGTAACAAGAAGCGGACGATGTAGTGAGTGTAGCCCCAGCGTGTAAACGACGAAACCATTAATACAAAGGATCACGAATGATGGCAACTTAAAGCCAGCAATAAGGTCCGGTTCCTTGACAAGGACAGACCTATGCAACCCTGCACAAACCTTGCAACAAAAAACTACAAAACCTTATTAGCATTCTACCCAACCCTCCGACGGACCTGATGAACACTCTATAGCGACCCTATAAGCCTGTCTGAAACCACATTTACCCTAAACCCTAAACCCGAAACCCTAAACCTTAAACCCTAAACCCTAAACCCTAAACCTTAAACCCTAAACCCTAAACCCTAAACCTGAACAAAGAAAACGCTGTCTTAACAAGGACCCGGGCACGGTGACGACCTCCAGGCTCCTTCCAGGGGCGTGAAACACCGAGTCCAGAATCTCTGCGAACAGAGGATCACGGAGCATGCCTTTGGTGTTTAAGATTTAGGGTTTAGGGTTTAGGGTTCAGGGTTTAGGGTCTAGGATTTAGGGTTTAGGGTTTTGGGTTTCGGATTTAGGGTTTAGGGTTTCGGGTTTAGGATTTAAGGGTTTTGGGTTTAGGGCTTAGGATTTAGGGTCTAGGGTTTTGGGTTTNNTATAGGGTTTAGGGCTGATAGGGCTTACAAACCCTAAGCCCGATATAAAGGAGCATGAGCATGCCTCTGAGTTTATGACACAGGGGGGTTTTAAGCAGGGTTTAGGATTGAAGGCTACGACGATCTAGCGTGTAGGCCTCTGGTTTAAGAGTGTAGCTTCAAACCTTCCGGGATGCAAAGGGCATTTTAGGGTGTAGGGCTGAGGGTTCTAGAGCTTGTAGCGTTTCAGGCTTGAAGGGCTCTCTGAGTTTGTGCTCTGATAGGGTCTCGGGCTTTGTTGCTAAGTTGGGCTTATGGTGTAGGATTTACTGTGCTTTCACGGCTTCGGGCTCTCAGGCTGTACAAGGGTTATAGGTCTTTGGGTAACACGGAGCTCTGAGTTTTCGGCGTAGGGGTTTACAGGGTTCGGGCCTGGGACTTTCGGCTACACTTTAGGGGTTAGGGTTTAAAGGTTTA